CACACACACACACACACACACACACACACACACACACACACACACACACACACACACACACACACACACACTCTGTGTTTGATGTTGCGTCCTTCAATAGACCCTCGTCATATATAGTCTGACACTCACACTCACATTTACCCCATGCTGGGTTTTACTCCTGTTGTTCATGTCGCAGCCTTTTCACTCTGCGGACTGCCAACCTGTTGTCAGACTGGCTGTGCTCGCTAGGACCATCTGTTCCCCCTCACGCTCACACACACACATGCACAGTCACATAAACACAGATACCCAACACACTGACCCACAGCCCAGCTGCTTGCTACATGGTCCCTGCTAGAGGCGGACTGCTACATCTGTCCCTGTCTAACCTCAATCCTCTGGCCCAGCAGCAATTAGCCCCCATTAGCAGCCCCCTGGGACTGGGCTTCATTAAGGACACTGTCGTATACACAGCAGCATGTAGCGGCTAACCAGCAGCTCTCACCGCTCACAGGTTACTGTCCGAACTAATGGAATGTGACAGAGAGCAAAGTCCTCGAATGCAGATAAAACAGTTGAAGGACGTTAAATCCCTTCCAATCTAAACTTAAGTGAAGCGATGGCCTTATTATACATTTTACAAATGAATAGTGATTAGCAAATTTTACTTTTTACATTTCGCCTCTGTTGTGAAGATAAAGGGTGGCTTAACAAGTTTGATAAGGTATAGATGAGGTTTTATGTGACCTTTTCTTAGCAGCAGTCTATTGCGGCTCTGGGAACTAAATGCTAAGGTTAGCATGCTAAAATACTTGACATTGCTAACATTTTGTTTTAGTGTGACACAAAAGGACAGCTGCAGTGATGGGGTTGTTGTTAGGTTTGGATGTATTGGATATAAACCAACTATTTTATCAATTCAATATGTTGACCTAAGTTTAGGGATCATCAAAGGTATAACAGATCAATATGATGGGAACGTGAATGTCTGTCCCAGATTTAATTGCAACCTATTCAAAAGTTTGGCCACAAATCTTTATCCTGCGTTCAGTTCAATAACATTTTATTTGATGTGGTTAATAATAATGAGTCATCCCAGGCAACATCCCATTATCCCTGATACGTTCATGTTCTTGTCTTACAGATCTGGAAGTGTGAAGCATCACTGGATAGAGATTTACTCTTTTGTGGAGCAGCTGGCGAAGAAGTTCATCAGGTACAGGCATTGGTAATTTAAAGAATCCGGATGTTTTCTGTTTTTGCTTGTGTTGATTTAAAACCACTGTTTTTTTTTGCAGCCCCATGCTGCGAATGTCCTTCATCGTCTTCTCCTCACACGGAAAAATTATTCTAAAACTGACGGAGGACAGGTGAGGCCCGCATCTGAATAACACCTGGACCGTGTCTGGGTTTTTCCCTCCCTGCACTACACTTCCCCAGAATTGAACATGCCCTCTCTTGTTGTGTTTATCTTGGGTTTTCCAAACTTCTCTATTTTCTCAACCTATTTTCTCGCAAATCAAAATGTACTTGCACACAAATTCATCTAGTATTACTACTACCTTTCTCCTCCTAACTGTATAATACATCTTTGTTAATTTCAAAATTGCTAAAAGCTGATTCGTTACGATATATTTTGTCGGTTTTCTCTACAGGGAGGCCATCAACGGAGGCTTACAAGGTCTGAGTAGAGTTGTCCCTGGAGGAGACACATTTATGAACTTAGGCTTGGAGATGGTAAGAATGAGACTGAGAACCCAACATGTGCTCCACCAGCTTTCACAATAAGGTTTTGTTCTAGAAAATATCCACTGAGGATTAATAGAGCCTGGCAGCTGGTACTGGGGCCAATGTGATTAGTATGACTAGTGCCTCAGATCATCAGCATCATGACTTGCTGCTTCTTGAATATGCTGAGCTTTGTGAAACTGTATTTTAAGTGAGGCATTCAAATTAAGTATAATTCCACACTTCTACCTGGGTCTAGTTTAATTTGTTTGGTCCTTCAGAAACATGTTTTGGTGGTTCAAGATTTAACATGTCTTTTAAAAGTATGTGTTTTATTTATAAATGTTTACATGGACTGGCCCCCCCTTCCTTAGGGGAATTCATCCACAAAAAACACACAGGACGCTGCACTAGGTCAGAAACCAGAGCAGACTGTGAGGTCCACCGTAGACGGACCACTTTTGGACAAAATGTACTTTCCATTAAAGGCAGCTCTTTCTGGAATAGCCTCCCAACTGAGATACGGGATTGTCCCATTCTCAATAGTTTTAAAGTTCAACTCAAAGAATGGTTGAGAAACAAACAGACGTGCAATCATCGCTAAATGAACTTTAATACAGGGGTATCTCCTCTTGCACTTTATGTAGCTCTTTTATCTTCTCTTGCACTTTACATGTCATTGCTGCTATATTGTACTGCCATGTGGTAAATACTTGTATATGCTGCTCTTGCTCTTTTGCACTTTTTTGCATATCCATGTCATTTTGTTCTCTGCTATGTTTGAAAAATGTAATTTTCTTAAATCTTTTATGTGAGGGACTGCAGATGGAAATTAGCTCAAAGCTAAATCTGGCACTGTTACGCTTGACACATTTTTAATGTTTTAAGTGTTCATCACTGTGCATTGTCCCTGCCAAATAAATGATTAAATTAAATGAAAATGTCCAGATGAGATCCATGTTTAAAAACCTAAAGCAAAGACCAATCCGGTGTAGGATAATGGTTAATGCGATGTAAAAATAAAGTATTTCTTCATTTAATTTCTATCTTAGTCAATTTAACTGAACTCACTTAACAAACGCCTTCTTTGCAATTGCAGGCTAATGCACAGATTCATCAAGAGAAGCAAGGTAAGCCTTGTATAATTATGCTTTTTACATTAGATTACATTAAAGGTGGGGTAGGTAAGTTTGAGAAACCGGCTCAAGATACCCTTTTTGTTGTATTCCATGGAATGCTCTTAACATCCCGATAGCAATGAATATCTTAAGTGCTTTGACAAAAAATCCATAACAAAATGTCATCTGTGGAAGCCGTAGTACTGTAAAAAGCACGACCAATCATTTTAGCCGGCCCGGCTAAAGTAACTGGATGACCTACCTGCCTGTCAGCTTTCCATCTGTGCACAAACTTATCTTGTGCCCTCATTGGTCATGTGCGCGTTCGTGTGTGTTGGAGGGGGGGGCAGATTTTTTCCGGTTGTGTATTTTCAAATTCTAGCGCACTCGAGCTGGTTTCTCCAAAATTACCTACCCCACCTTTAAGTGCATTGTTTCATAGAACATAAATATGTTGTGTCTTGCAGGGACAGCCAGCGTGATTATCGCTCTGACCGATGGAGAACTAAATGACTGGCAGTTTGATACAGCTCAGCGAGAGGTAAGATGTGTTATTTAGTAAAGGCGTTTGAGGAGGAAACACTTTTATTGAAAATATTTTAGATTAAAGTCACTTGTTGGGACTTTAAAACTAATGTTTCCACACTTGAGGCTCTTGTGACTGAAGGTGGCAACTTTGTGTTTACTGGCACCAATTTTAATTTGGTGATCAAAGGTCCATAACAATGTGAAATCCCAAACACATTTTTGGACATCATTTATGAATTCAGTGCTTAATTGTAAATTGTACATACAATAGTGTAATTTACTACTGTGGGGACTGAGAAAGTCCCCCTTAAAAAAAATCCAGAATCTCTTCAAAATCACTTTTTTATGTTCATTTGTCCTTTGTTTGCAGGCACAGAGGGCCAGGTCAATGGGAGCCATTGTTTACTGTGTAGGGGTCAAAGAATTCAACAAGACTCAGGTAGCATCCACAGAAGGATAGTACATTTAGCAAATACATGAAAAAGCAAATTACTTAAAATAATTGTTCTTTCTGTGTCTGTATGTTCTTCTAGCTGGCCACTATTGCAGACACTGTGGAACATGTGTTTCCTGTAACGGGAGGCTTCCAAGCCCTGAGGGGAATTATTGACTCGGTATGACACATAATAACCCCAAGCATACAGACTCTTTGACATACAGAGACATACACAATATATGTGAGTAAATGGTCTTGTGACTTTTTTGTTCCTTGTGTCTTATCTCTCAGATCATTAAGAAGTCCTGCATTGAGATTCTAGCGGCCGAGCCGTCCAGTGTGTGCGCAGGAGGTAAGAGCGGCAGGGGGCTTCCCCTCCTTATCAAGACAGAAGGTGGTGTGTGTTTGTGTCAGATGACAGTCATCCTCTGGAGGGGAACATGAGGTTGAGTTATCGCATGGACGCTTGTGACCGCGGAGTGACACAGAGCGTATTGTCATTCACGGCCGGGGGAAATTAGCATAGCCGCTTCAGCACAGCGTGTGTGCAAAAAAGAGGAGGGGGGGGGGTGTTGGTCAGAGGAATTAGCCGTGAATCTTTAAGCATGGCTGCTTCTCTGGCCTAGTTTGCCACATTGTATATGTAAAAGGCGGTTTCAACACTGTCCTGCTTCTTAACTCTTCTTCCATGTCCAGCTCTCATGCGTCTGGACTGCATTTTCAGGAAGTGAGAGAGGAGGAGAGAGAGCTGTTATCTGTAGCCAGCCAGGATGAATGAGTTCTGACATGACCTTATTAGGACTCACTTAAGAGAGTGCATTTGCGGCAGTGCTACCAGGACAACCAAAGGAGATTAGCATCCATTAGAGGGGATATGAAGAAGGGAAAGTATTGGGAGAAGATAGGAGGAGAAATGATTTTAGAGCAATGAAAATATTGCCTTGAAAGGACAAAAATTAGGAAGGTATATTAGAGTTGCCCCCATGTGATAATTACTGGCCTTTTGCCAGAGCCTGAGCGTGTCACTCGACATGTGCCCAAATATCCTCCAACAGCCTCATTTATTATTCGATTGATGAACAGTCTAATGGTCAGTGAACTAAGAAACCAAAGACCCACTTAAACCAAGGCCTGATTCTGGACTAATTAATGAAGGACAAAGATGTGCTGATGCTTATAGTGCGCGGCAAAAGGCAAACCCTTTGTTGTGACATGATGTGTTTAAATATTTGACAGCTCTTATTTTAGACTTCCAATGCTTATATCTTATGCTTTACAGATCGGTAAAGAGAATAACTTCTGTCCCTCGCTCAAAGCTTATTCTTGCAGTAGAATGTGATATAATCTTATTGTCAAGCACAATTTAGCAGGAGTTTGCTATTATTTCCCAAGAGGTTTGAATGTAACCTTCTTCCCTCATCCATCCACAGTGATGCATTTACATGTACTTACATACTGACGTATTGCATAGGTATTGTGACAGTCTCTCTCTCCGTCTCCTCGCATATTCACACAACAGACATGCATTACACAAACGCACACACACGTTAAGATGTTCTTTAGTCAGCTCACACACACACACACACACACACACACACACACACACACACACACACACACACACACACACACACACACACACACACACACACACACACACACTTACACACATGTCCCTCACATTGATTTGAAGTGACCAGACCGAGCTGCCTGCAAACAGGCCATCAGACCGGACAGTGAACGTTGGGCCCCACTATCAGACATGACAGCAATGATTCTCCCCCCCCACTCACACACACACACACTCACACACACACACAAACACACACTGAGAGGACACTGAGAGTTGGGCCTTAGATCTAACATGACAGCAGAGATTGCTGCTTTCATTAACGTCTGACCCTTTCCTCCCTGTTGTTCTGCCCTCCTTCGCCCCTCCCTACCCTTCACTGTCCCGTCGCACTAACGTGATTGAAGAGCCGCCGTTCGGACAAGCCGTAGCCCATATTCTCCACGCACACGAAACACACATGCATGAACGTGTGCGTAGTTGCACACAGACACACATTCATACAAATGTAATTCTTGTCAGACGCTCAGGTGTAGATGTAAATGAACATGTGGCCACAGAGGAGAGGAGAGGGCAGAGCATGTGTTGTACATGTCAGCAGGGCACCACCAGTCCCTGCCCACCATGTGTCTGACAGCACTGACCTTTTAGCCCATCAAGCCTCGGTGTGTCAGGGTGTGTGTAGAAGATGTTCAGATTGAGACATTTTCATTGTGTGCCCATCAATGACAACACACAATGACTCAGGATTTAGTATTTTAATTAAGTATTTAATCATAGATGTTAAACTGTTACATGTCAACATAGTGCGATGTACCACACTGTTCCTGGTGAATAAAGCTATTTTATATATCAAATTTTACTTTCTAAAATAGTGGGACCATTATCAGTCTGCAATAAGACAGTTGTCATTGGAGTGAAATCTGCTTATTTCTACAACACTTAAATTAAAGTAAACATAACAACAATGGGGCTTGGGTTAAAGAAATAAGGGGACATTTTAGCTAGACTACATTGACTTAAATGTTAAATATAATCTCATGATTTAAAAATGTGTAATATTTCAACATTGACTGAAAGTGTACGCACATAGTTACTAATTTATTTTCTTATGGTGAGACTAAATTGCCTAAGATTTTAGTCCAGAAAACTGAATTTCGTTCACTTAATGTGATAATAACTAAGATTACATTTAAAATTAGCTGAAAAAAAGACCACTGGTGTGCACATCCGCCCTGTCTCAGTGCAGCTTATACTTTTTGATGGTAACATTGCGTGAAAGGGGGGGGGGGACGACAGCTGAAGCAGCCACTGCACTGAGCAATAATAATAATTTGTGTTAAACCCTCCAATTAAGTGGGACATTGTTGTGGCTGCAAACCACATAAACCATACGTTAATGTGAAATAAATCAAACTTATTATAATATATTTTTATTGTTGTAATTAATGAGTGTTGTGGTTGTGTTCTCTAGAAGAATTAGGGCAGGAGAAGGGAGAAGACATGGAACATGGTTAACAGTAAATATATTTGACTGTCTGTCATGGGAAGTGTAGTTAAATGGGTGGTCTTAGTGTGTTCCTGTGTGTATACTTATCTGAGTCTAGCTAAATAAATGACATGAGAACAACAACAGTCATTGAACAACTGTAAATAAGCACACACTTTATTGAAGGTTTTATCTTTCTGAGTTTGGATAACTACACTTTCTGCACAAACTAATGCATTCAGTTGAGTAATATGTATTATCTGATAACCATATTGTATATGTAGTACATACAACTTATCCCAGTCTTTTGAGAGCTGTATTTCCATCTGTCTTGCACATCAAAACTTTTCTTCCTGGATTTCATCCAATAGCCAATCTGCACTCTTAAACATTTTTACAGCATCTGTAAATAGAGAGATGACCAGTAAAGTGATTTTATTTTCTCCACTCAGCGCTACCTCTAGTTTGTGTGTCTGTACTTATGACTTTTCATAGCAGTGAGTGTGACCTTTAGGAAAATACTGTCACATATACACCAACATGATGTTTTTATCCAGTGATCTTCACGCTTGAGCTTTAAATGTTAAAGGTGTGGCAAACCCTCAGTTCTATTAGCCAGTATAATGCTAGAGGAAAGCTGAGTGCACAGCCAGAGACCACACACATACACAAATACCAACATGTGCACGTTCAAAGCAAAATGAAGACTTGCACATGCTTACACATTCCTCTGAATAACACAAAGGCACTATACGCATACAGTATGTACACTACATTGCATACATATGCATACAGACGTGTGTTAATGGTGCCATAGGTAAGGTCAGACCTACTTTGACAGTGCTGTGCTGTTCTGGCCCTCCAGGCATGTTTTTAAGCAAGTGTTTTTTCCCCGCTCTCTAACATATGCTGGGTAGCAGCCACATAGACACTCCAGCATATGCTGGCAAGCCACTGTCAATGCGCTTTAACAGTGCCTGGGGGAAGCTAAAGGTCAACAACACACACACACATATGCACACACACCTTCTGGCAACTGCATGGTACACATTTGTGAATTGCAGCACTATTAGCATTAGCACCATTGGAGCTTATTATGGCCTTTCCACACATACACGCACAAGCACACAAATATAAACAAGCGGAAATGAGGCATGCACAAGTATCGCCTGCCGAAGTTGAGCACATTGGGGAAAGGAGATGCCTGCTAGCAGTATTGTTCTACTAACTGAACTAAAATAGGAAACTGATTTGTATCTTTAACATCTCTTACATACAGCTGAAAATATGTGTTTTACTATGGTTATGTGTAAATGTGGATATTGCTAATAATGGTGCTTACCTTTTTTTGGTGTCCCTCAGAGCGTTTCCAGGTGGTGGTGAGAGGAAATGGCTTCCTCCACGCCAGAAACACTGACCAGGTGCTCTGCAGCTTCAAACTGAATGATACACACAGTGTGGGTAAGTTACGCAACCGTAAACAAGCTTACATTTTAATGCATCACCTGGTTTGATTTTTGCAGTTAAGAAAAATGCGAGAACCAGGTTTAGGCTCCAGATGTTCTCCTACATAAAGTGTGCCTGTCTCCCCCTGTGCAGATGAGAGACCAGCTGACATAGAGGATACCTTCCTGCTCTGTCCTGCTCCTGTCGTGGATGAGGTTGGGAGGTAAGCTGCACATGTCTTTTGGCTGCCCCTGCCTTTTCACCCCTCCACACTCATACTCAGCCATCAGTCAAGTTGCTAAGCTCTCCGCATTCAGCTGTAACGCTCTGAGCCCAGATATTTGCCAGCTGCACGCAAGTTTTGTATGGACACAGAAGAATGCTGTCCTTGAACAAATTAGGGCCAAAGTCATTGAGTGTCTGTGATCAATCAGTGTTTGTCACAGCTAACGAAGCCAGACACCAATCACAAGGGGACAACAGGAGTAGAGCCCAGGAACACGACTTAATGAGAGCCTGCTGGAGAGGACCTTCGCAACTGTGTGTGTGTGTTTGGGTGTTGTGTGATGTATCCCAATCTCTGTCTGACACGTTGGGAGAGCAAAAGTGTGAGTGGAGTCGGCGGGGCAGTGTAAAGTTTCCTCTGAGGGTTTCCAGCTTGGCTCCTGGTCTTTCAGAGCAGAAGTTTCTAGCGGGGCATGGACCGAGGCCCAGCAGCCTCCCCGGCCCCGATGCCTTCAGTCCTGTACATAATTATACACTCCGGCCCACGGCCTCAGACACCTCCCAGTCATCATCTGTCTTGTTGCTGTCACTCAGATTTGTAGCTTGATTTGAGTTTGTCTTGTCTGCTTGTGAAAAGTACTGCTTCGAAGGGGAAGTACTGTTCAGAGATGGGGAAGAAACTACATGTTTTCACACCGTGGCAGCAGCCATATTTAAGAATCGCATCTAGTATTATTTTTACCTGCATGTTATCACAGATGTGGCATGGAAGTGGAAGGGAACTAGCAGAGGATATAAGTGGATCAGAAACAGTCAGCAACAATTGACCGTTTTCACTGCAGACGTTTTTACTTTGTGGGAAAAGCACAGGTGAAATGAATGCCAGTAACAATGGCTCTGTGCTCAAAGTAGCTATGAGCGTTAATGTTATTGCTAACTCCTGAGATTTTCCTACAAGGAAAAAGTCAATTTGCCTAATTTACAATCCAGCAATAGTTGTAGCTGGTAGGGTTTTCTTGCAGCGGGTGCTGCTCCTCCTGAGAGAGGAGCAAAAATCATCATTACTCACTGCAATGGTGCCTGAAGGAGGCATCCTTCCATGTAACAGAAAACCATTAGAGCAGAGTCAGCACTGCCTTATCATCCTAAGTGCCACTAAAGAGGAAGTCAGCTGTGAATGGCTGAAGGGCCCAGAGCAGGCCAACAGCCGGATCATGAGTTCTGGGCTGCAGTGCAACACTGACAGATAGATATGGAAATGTGAAGTGAGGTGAGTGAGAGAGGGCCACTGTACAGGCTGGACTGGTGTTTGATATAATAAACAAGTCCCTTTGTGTACTGCTGTATGCCAAAACAGCGCTGTTTTAGTCTGCTGAACCAAATTCACCCAAGATCATCAGATTTTATATTTTAACAATTTTTACATCTTGCATTGTAAAGAAAGAAACAATTAGGTTTGAGCACCAGTCCATTTGCATGATTTGTCTTAGGCCTTCAACATTGTCTCACGGCCTTCCTCAGTGAATAAAATGACCCAGAATTAAACACAGTGTGTTTTCATAAGTTGAATTTTGATGCAAAAGATGCACTTTAAAGCTTAACTACTGAAGTCAGTCATCACAGCATCTGTCTGAGGCAGAATCATTAAGCGACTGAAAGGCATTTATAAAACACAGGGGGAACGAATTAGATGTGTGTACCTAGAAATGTGCTACACATCAGGGAAGGAACTAATAATACTAAGAGTGTAGAGATTGCCTACTCTTACATTAGAAAGCAACATTTTCCATTGTAATTGAACAAACTTGATCTAAAGTAATCATAAGCTGTTGCCCGGGAATGTCAGATCACATTATAGGTGAACTGCTTCCTGTTTTGGGATTGTGAAGTCTGTGCATGAAGTCGGAGGAACTCCAGCTCCCAGCATCACCTCTTACCAAAACCCCAAAGAGACCCTCACTCACCTCCTGCTCCACCCAAGCCTTGTCGCATATAATGAAGTCATTGACGTTGCTGTCACACAAATGTATGTTGACTGGGAACCTTCCGGATGCAGCTCCCCCGCCTACACAAACACACACGCACACGCACACGCACACGCACGCACGCACGCACGCACACACACACACACACAGGGGGCAAAGACATATATAGTGGACAGTTTAATGATTGATAGGGGCTGAGATGTATCTGTCAGAGAGGAGCTGATAGCACCGCGTCCCCTTCCTGCCTGAAAGGAGGCCTGGCCATATAATGGGAAAGGGGGGGGAGAAGTAGAAGAAAAGATGAGTGGCACCTGCACCGCCAATTTCCCCCTCTGAAGTCAGTGTCAGCATGAGTTATGAGACGAGCTACAGTGGTATGGAGAGGATACAGGAGGGGTGAGGAGGCGAAAACAGAGTCAGTGATTGAGGAAGGGAAGAAGGGGTCTCAGAAGGGAGGGACAGTGCTGAAGGGATGTAGAACAGGAAAGGCCCTCCTCCTACCATCCCCCACTCTGTTTCCTCCCCTCTGCTCTCCCTCCCCACCCCTGCAGTGACCTCCCCCCTCCTCAAATCTAAACCCAGAGCTCAATGCCCCCCTTGTCTACCCCCCCTAAAAACCATAAGAACAGCACAAGAAGCCTTTCTCAATTATTTCCCAAACCTATAACAACAATCCAGCTGCCTGCGTTATCCACCCTCTTGTCTTGTTTTTCTTCTAAAGGGAGACACTACAGGCGTTCTGGCTATTTTGCTATGCTATGACTTCTCTTAGTGACTAGTTAAAAGACAACATCTAAAACATATTTGGATATTCATTTACTACACTTTGTATATTTGGGGATGTAGTTGAAGATATAGATTTCTTTAAATCACAGAAAGTGAGTTGGATAAAAAACGCCTTATTTGCATATTTAAACATAACATTTAAGAGAAGTTGTAATACAAAAAAGATTGTCCTTATTTAAATAATCTACTCGGGAAGTTTCATGGTGATAATCTTTGTTTTTAAACCCTTCAACTGAATTACTAAACTTCATATTCCGCTCATACCTCAATCTTGTATAGTCTTTGCTTCCATCTACCTCACTCAACTAAGAATAAACTTTTAATCCTGCGTCCTGTCCATGCCCTGCTTGTCTTCCTGCAATTAGCTGCAGATATCAGCCGGGATTCTGGAGAATAACAAGTAATTTAGCTATCTGTGGTTTCCACATTAGAGTTCTGAGTCTGATCCAAACAGAAGATTCCTTCTGAGGGTGGAGAATTCCCTGACCTTTTTAAAGACTCTGGTTTTGTGTCTATGTCAGCATGCGGATTTTTGCTTTAAAGGCTGCAAGTATGGACACAGCAGATGAAGGAATGTGTTTGACACTCCGGGCAACTTGTACAGTAGCAGAAACAAAACCGCAAATGTGTGCATGTAAGCTGGAGTGCACTCAAGTGTGTTTTGAATTTCGTGTCAGACGATACAACCAGTCAAAAGCTGTTGTTTTTTCCCAGGGTGATCTACCTGCAGGTGAGCATGAATGAGGGCCTCTCCTACATCACCAGCTCTGTCCACATCACTACCACTGAATGTGTGAGTACATCCTGTGTGCAGCTTCACTTCCATCACAAAAACACACGATATTTCCCTCTGGCATGCAGCCTTATTTGAATAAACTTTCCCCCTTATATTTTCTCTTGGTTCTTTAGTCTTCTTCTTCTCTCCTTCCTCTCTGAGCTCTCCTCTGTTGTGTCTGTCATCAGAGGAGGCTGTGAGTACTTTGGCTTTTCATTTTCACCATTTTCTCGTCCATCATCTGTAAATCCAGTTTAATCTAATTCCCGTCACTCTGTTCTATGTGCAGTTTGACGGCACCATCGTGCTGGTATCCTTGTCGGCGGTGTTCCTGTTGTTGGCTCTGCTGATGATGTGGTGGTTCTGGCCTCTCTGCTGCACTCTGGTAAGTAGAACTTCAGACTTTAGTATGCAAGCTTCAAACATTGTTTAATTACCAGTGGTGGGTAGAAAGGGAACACACACGCCTACACTGCAGACTGCATCCAAGCCTCTCCTCTCAGGATTCAGTAATGACAGTGAAAGTGTTTTGTTTTTTAATAGATAGTAACTTGTATTTTTTGGTTTACTGTTTCTTGATATGGCACTTTAATACAAATAAAAATTGTACTTCACATTTATTATTAACTGTTGAGGACAGTTGATATAATAAGTGAAATCATTTTTTAACCGTTTTTGTTTACTCTACCCACCACTGTTGATTATATATTTGGCTCCCTCATGGTATTTCTTCCTTTCCCTTCAGGTGATCAAAGAACCTCCACCACCTCCTCCTCCAGAGCCAGTAAGACTTGTTTTTTCGCTCATTATAACCACTTATTAGTGACGTTATTGATAGGGTAATGATGTTGTTAATATCAATATTAGTATGTTTGGGAGATAAGGTGCTGTTTCATGTAATTGCGTCTCGCTCTCAGGAGTCAGACGATGAGGATGGGATGCCCAAAAAGAGGTGGCCCACAGTGGATGCATCCTACTATGGAGGAAGAGGAGTGGGTGGCATCAAACGCATGGAGGTATGTATTCTCACACAGACAAACACACATACACTCAAAAGGATATACCTTCTAATGAGTCTTTCTTAGGTGCGATGGGGGGAGAAGGGCTCGACTGAGGAAGGGGCAAAGTTGGACAAACCTAAAAATGCAGTTATAAAGATGCCAGATCAGGAATTTGAACCGTATGAGCCCAAACCACGAAAAGCACGACGCGGACCGCAAGAGCCAAGGAAGTGGTACTCACCCATTAAGGTTAGTCTGTTAAGCATTACCTTTACAATTACCATGTATTTTTAGGTTTTGTTTTTTATTATTAATCTATGACACTATTTCCTCTTTCTTGATCCTCTCAGGGAAAGCTAGATGCTGTGTGGTCTTTGTTCAGGAGAGGTTACGACCAAGTATCTCTGATGAGACCACAGTCTGGAGACGAGGTGAGCCTCACACTCAACTGCATTTTGACCTGAAACACTACAAGAAAAATCTGATGTGCCAAAAACAGGCATGATGACTAAAACAATTTGGTAATTATGTGTCATTTTGGGGATTGCCCTGTGGGTAACAACCACCTGAATATTAACCCGTTGGTACAGATTTAAGTGAGGTTTTCCATCTTGTGGACGATTGAGCATCCGCATTACATGTCTGTCACATTGCATAAAGACGACATGTGTCATTGAGCAACATGCACTATCTTCGACACAGCAGCTCAGTGCGGATACTCCACACACACACTGACACACACACACAGTGAGTCAATGAGCCACTGATATCGCTCTCTTAGACAAAGCTGCCATTGTTCACGCACAAGGAGCACTGTACTCTTCTGTACTGGCCTATGAGAATTGACTGGGTTTTATTTTGTTTCCAAATGACACATCACTCATGACTAAGTGATAATGATAAAAACGTGTCAAACTTTGTATTATATATAATATCAAAATGCTACATTGCTGCTGCTTCTGAAAAGTCCTAAATGACAAAATCACTGTGTGTGACAGGACCATGGAGCAGAGCGGCTCCTCTTATCTAACCTTGACCCTGTGTAAGCCATCCCATAACCCCACCGACATGTTTTCATGATCATACTGGTTGTCATGGTGAAACAGCTGCTCCGCTGTGAATGGTTGCATTGTCGCGTCTCATAGCAGAGGCCAAATCGCTGTTTAATGTATTGATTTGCTCTTTGAAAGGCATGATTCATCCAAATGATGTAACAGTAGCATTGAGTGTGTGTCTACTGTATCTAGAGTCTATAAAACTGGTCATCTTCAATGGTTTGATCCTCTCTTTCCATCTTTGATTTTTTTTCCTAAGCAGAACAATTAATCTCTGTCAGAACAGGAGTTTCCAGAGTCTTTGTCAGACACTTTCTGTGGGGCTGTGTTTCAACAATGACCCCCACAATTCCCTTCACGAGTCATTAACTGAGGAAAATAAAAATGACACTTCTCCGAGCGGGATAAAAGATGCACTTTTGTTGCAAAGCCGATAGTTGTTCAGAACTGGTGATAATAGCCATATCAGACATGAAAGACGACAAATGATTTAAGGATTTCTCTTTGACAAAAGCCAGGCTCGGATCTGAAGTCTCCACAGTAGTATCGAACATCTCTATGAAAGCGAGATGCTGCAGTTGAATGACACACAGCAGAGCAGGAATACAAAGAGTCCAACAATGTGGCAAAAAGCACAGCGATAACTAACGCGGATCAGACCTCTCCACGCAGATTGTTGTCCATCAGCTCAGGAGGAGCTTGTCCTGCTTTCTCCCCACATTACTCCTACATCACTGCATCTGCAAACGGCCATCAGCGGGGCTGCCAGTTTCTGCCACACTCCAGTTTGCATCTGATCGCTCTCTAGTGTGTGTGTGTGTGTGTGTGTGTGTGCGTGTGTGTGCGTGCGTGTGCGTGTGCATGCATCAGCTCTCCAGAGTGAGCGTTACACAAACAGATGGGGAGTTGAAAGGCCACGAGCCATATTGTGACAGAAGAGATTCCCTTCTTTTGTCCTCAGAGCTGATTGCTCTGATGGTCCCGTCGCACAGCACAGAGCCGAACACAGGGCCGCCACCATCCCTGCGTCCTCCTCACACACAGGGGCCACAAACGAGCTCAGCAGAACCTCCCCTAATACCAATCACTTCACTTAGAGAATCACTTAATTCAAAATACAAAAACAAACAGATTTCCTCATTTGCCTCTACTATCTGAGCATGCAGACAGTTCAAGTTTAACTAAGGTTGTGTGTCAAATTCAATCAAGGTGAATGGAATTTATGTTTGTGGTGTCAAATTTGTTGACAAATCATCATAAACTCATGATCCACTTACTCCCTTGTAATGGAGATGTAACCTTATTTTATAGTTTTGATTAGTTGACAGAGATTGTTTAATTGTCTCAACAATTAATAATCAGCACCACTTGTTTCAAGTAAGCCGTTCAGTCGTAAGGAAAGACAATGCTGTCAACATATTTATAGGGAATATTTCTTCCATAGAGTTATTCCACAGAAAACAGTTCACTTTATTATATCTGGCAGTGACTATCAACCAGTTGGATGACTGCACAGTAATTGTTTTCCAACTAGACTAGAGAGAGTCAGGGAGTTATATCAGATAGAAAAAGTTCGGTAACTACTGATCAAGCAACACAAGGAATGGCGGATAAAACAATCAACTGTTTAATTGTGTAAATATAATTCGTCAAATAGATTAAGCACCACAAATGGTATTCACCGCTGTTGGTATGGCCAAAGAAACAGAAACAGATCACTTAAAAATATATTTGGATACCCCCACCTTTGAATATACGGTGAACATGACATTAAGTATTCCAAGCTTCAGAGCAGCATATGTAGCCTGTGAAGTGTTTTAACTCACACATGGAGCATTTTCCTTATGTGAGTGGATTGCTGAATTGTCATGCGAAGTGACAGGCAGAGCTGTCAGGTCAGATGTGCGTCTCCACTCTGGTTTTCCTCACATTTTCTTTACTATAATGTTGTAAAATGTGTGCTTGCATCAGTTCCCTGTAAACGGCAAAGTATCGTGTGTGTGTGTGTGTGTGTGTGTGTGTGTGTGTGTGTGTGTGTGTGTGTGTGTGTGTGTGTGTGTGTGTGTGTGTGTGTGTGTGTGTGTGTGTTGGGAGGGTAGGGCAAAGTCTTGGGGCTCAGAAGGAGAAACGGAGGCTAGACAGAGGAGTGTTTTTGAAGAAAGATGCCGGAGGTGTTTTATGGGTTTTGTTTTTCTCCTAGAAAATAACTCAAGGGTTTGAAGTAAACAATCACCAACAGGGAAAAGTGACAGATATCACAGCCAAAAGGGTACAAGGGGAGATTGACCATCGCAAATGGCACATTGCTGACCCCTCAACTATCGATCGAGAAGTGCAACACATCTTCTCTTTGCAAATGTTCTAAAGCATCAACAATGTTGTGTTTTTGGTGCTCTCTTGCAGCCAGCCCCCTAACCTTTCCCTGCCTCTCTTTCCATTATTCATGACGAGGCTGAGGTTTCATTCAGGCCATATGTTCTGGTGGAGGCATGCTTGGTCACACACACACACACACACAAACACACTCATATTCATGAGCTTGTGTTCTCAGTGTCCATATGCTCTCACTGGTGTAGTGCTGCTGCTCTGCTGCTCACAAACTGGCCTTTTCACCACGGCGGGGCGACAAGACCGAAGCAGTCACCCCCCCAACCGGGCGGACCCCAATCAACTACACACCCCTCATACACACACACACACACACACACAAAGGCCCCCTCAGTCAGAAAGCTACTGATGCTGCGGTCCTCTTATTGGCCCCTGTGTGACTTTAGGGCCTCTCTGTTTAATAAGGTGTTATAATCAGACCACCAAGGGTCTGTGACACCGGGACCTACTCTACATCCTTCACACACACTGACTGAGCAAGACGTGTGTGTGTGTGTGTGTGTGTGTGTGTGTGTGTGTGTGTGTGTGTGTGTGTGTGTGTGTGTGTGTGTGTGTGTGTGTGTGTGTGTGCTATGCAGGGCAAACCATCAATGAGAACAATAAGAGATGCGTTCCATTCTCCCTGACTTGTAAATTATGTAAAACACCAAGGGGCCTCTGTTAACTATTGTGGGGATATTGAAATCCCCTCTTTACATCCCAACAAGTCAACTACACAAGAGACATAAACCACTTTCTGTTCTGCATCAAGAGAGGCCAAGTCACAGCAGAGGCTCCTACAGAAGAGGGGAAATGGATAAAGCTGCAGACTGCAAAAGCATATGTGCGTGTTTGTGTGTGTGTGATAACGTTGTCAGTATCTTTGCTAGCATCACAGCTATTGTGGTGCAGGTGTGGACAGAGGACAGAAGCAGCTCTGTGTGCCATCCACAGACAGGAACACACACGCCTCTGTCATAAGAGCTTGGCAAAGACTCACACACACACCCTGTTGGCCTTTGGATCTAACAAGCTCATTGAGATGCACTGCATTTAAATCTGTACTCTGCATTGAAAAGATGTCCGTCTGTGTGTTTTGCAGGGTCGCTGTATTAATTTCCAGCGAGTCAAAGATGGGGAGTCCACCCCGAACAACCGGCCCCCTCCTCGCACTCATCACTCCCCCACCCCGGCCCCTCCTCCTCAGCCCGCCGAAGAGCGACCTCTTGTGTCCAACTCTGTCCCTCGTATCAAGCCTCCGTCGAGAGGGCCCCGCACCACGCCACCCTCCCGCGCACCCCCCCCCTGCTCA